AGGGGGAGGGGGAGGGAGAGGAGGAGGAGGAGGAGGAGGAGGAGGAGGAGGAGGAGGAGGAGGACGGGAGGTCTTTCGCTATTTTCGGGCCTTCTGGGGCCCTCACCAGCTCAGGGGACCGTCGGAAAAGACTCTGGTTGAAATGAGAAAAAATCACGGCGGGAGGTTTGTCGCCAATTTCGGGCCTCCTAGGGCTCTCACCGGCCCTGGGGACAGTCGAAGAACAACTCGGGATGCAAGACCGGTCCCGGAGAATGGGTCGATACCTCTGGGGGTCGGCGTTACGAACCAAAATTTTGTCCCCAGACTATGTTTTAACTATTCTTGAGCATTCCTCGCAGGATGAAGAGCCACCTGTCGGAAACTGGAACATATACATTACCAATGGCGGGCTGCTTTTCCATCTAAGAATTATTCGAGGGTCGGGGACGACGTCGGGACGGTGTGGTATATCATTTTTCCGCTTCCCGAAGAAACAACGAAAAATGTATACACCAAGATCCCGTATACACCATGATCCGTTTTCCTGTGCAAATTTCAGTGCAGGGCCGGAAAAAGCGGCGGTGTATAGAGTTTGGTTCCCTAACCTGCGGCCCCATATGCAGGAAAGGCTGACTCCCATGTCGCAACCCAAAGCGGCTCCCAGGAGCAGGGCTCGATCACTGGGCCCACCTGGAGGCAGGAGATGGCCGAAGGGCCCTCCTTGGCTCGGGTCGGGCATGTCCTCCTAGAGGCGGATTTTGGAGGAGAAAAAATGACAAATCAAAACATGTTCAAAAAAGTCAAAACTAGCCGACAAACCGTCCCCAGACTATTTTGTACTATGTTTGAATGTTCCTCCGGAAGAGGGACACGCCCGACTTGATCCTTAGCCTTGCTGTGACAACGACGCGAGGGGATCCGGGCAACTCCGGGCCCTCGCGCCTCAACTTCCGCCCCGCGGGGCGCTTCGGCGGGGGGCGGGGCTCGCCGGAAGCAGCCGAAGTCGTGCGGTCTGTACGAGGGAGCCGATGCTAACGATCTCCCGCCTTTCCGGCGCATGCAGGGGCAGCCAGGTCGCGACGGCGCCGAAGAGCATGAAGCGGAATTGACGCACGTGCTCTCCCCAAGCGCCCGCCAGATAGATGGACAGTCCCCAGCCTCCCCCAGACTCCTACGTAGATGAGGTCCGATTGAGATCCGATTGGGAAGCTAATGGAATCCGATGTGGGTTCTACGGGGATCCTGTTGGAATCAAAAAAAGATCCGATCGGAATCGAATTGGGATCAAATTGGGATCCGAATTGCACAAACTTGAATCCTGTTGGAAGCCTATTGGAATATGATGGAACTGCATTGGGGTCCTATTCGGATCTGATTCGGGTACTATTGGAATCCTACTGGCATCCGATTGGAATCCTATTGAATCCAGGAGGGCGCCAGGTGCTGGCGTAACGCTTCCATGGTGCCAGATGCGTTACTACGTTTCACTGGATGGTGGAGAGTCTTGATTGCTTCGTCGGGATAGACCATACAAGCGCCACATATTCAAATCTAACGGGTAAAGAAACGGTCAGCAAGAAAGGAAGCCCAATATCAACGTGAAGATGGACGTCGGAATTGGAACTTCTAGGCACAAGTGTGGAATACCTCAGCACCTGCTGCTGATGCTACTGCGTGTGCGCGCGCGTGCGTGCGAGCTCACACCTGTGCGCGAGTGCGCACGTGCGCTCGCGTGTGCGCAAGCGATTATATGCGCGCGCTTATGTTCATGAGTGTGCGCGTGGGAGTGCTCGTGTGAACGTGAGCGCGCGTTCCTACGCATAGTTGCGCAGCACTTGCTCGGATGGGGGGCCATTCATTTACAACATGGGGCTCTCGCCTCATACGTCCTCGGACCTTATTACCGGCGACAGGTTACAAGGACGTCGGCCAGTTCATTCTCAGGGTGAGCGTTGTCGCTGGACACATTGCCCGACTTATATGGCCCCACCTCTTCGCATTCCTTCGGGCTCGAAAGATAGAGGGCAAATCGTCCGAACATTATTGGGTTCCCTGGGGTTGTCGTCTTGCAGGGGTGTGCGACGCACAGACAAGCACACAGTCTACGTGTTGCGGGAGCTTCTTGGGGGGGGGGCCTGGGACGGGATGGTGTAGAATCGAAACAATGTCATAGGGAGCCCTCGATAAGAAAAGAAGCCGCCGTTATTCCATAAGTGAGGCGTCGATTTCCTATCGGGAACTCCAGAAACACTTAAGACATATTGCAAAACAATTAAGGAACACTGAGCCCCTCCCCAACGAGGAGGATTCCTTCGTCAGCTGCCGTCTGTATTGCAGCAGCATCGCTGATGCATCCTGAATCTCCGCCACCGTGCGTCTGTCCAGGAGGCCCAAAAGAGGCCCCGAAAGGCCCCAGAGCGGCCCCAAAGAATTCAAAACTGCCCCCCAAAAGGCCTCCGAGGGGCCCCCCACGAGGTCCCCACGCGCACCCACTAAGCCTCATACCCACAGACCGGGCACGGTGGAGGGCTGGGCCGACGGCCATTCGATACTCTGGTCCTCCTCGTGCTCCTCCTGCTCCTCCTCCACCTCCTCCTCGGAATGCCGCGGGAAATCGTACGTACGCAGGCAGACTCACAGCCGACGCAACAGCAATATACAACCGCCCGAACATGCATCGGGTGCCTAGGTTGGCTGGACCCCGGCAAGAGGCCTGTTTCCCTTGCTCCGCGCGGCACCTCGCCAGCAGGTGTGATCGACGAGCTCGCGCCTCATCCTTCTCTGGTGTGATGGGCCGAATTCCACCACCACTACTATAGGTAGGAGAGTCATGAGTGTCATAGATCCAAGAAGTGAGCGGCGAGCGAGACTCAACCGTCACCCTCGGCCTCCCAGACAAGAGAAAGAGGCCGCAGGCGCCAGCACCGACGGTCAGGGGAAAGGCAGATACCTCGTCGCTCAGCGACTCGCTGCCCAACCGAGACGGCGTGGTGCGTATGGGGACAGCCGGTTCACCGCGTCACCGCGCAGTACTTCCAGACCGCCACCCCTGCCGAACCGGATGGCATGTGCAACTGGGATTGTACCCCAGGGTGAGCGGACATAAAGTCCCAAGGGACTTACGGACCACATGGCCCCGCCTCTCAAACAAATGCACACTCCCCGTGCCTGGTACCCATCCCCAGGTCACGGGCGCAGCTAACGCGCCGCTGCCACGGGCAAAGTGCCACGTGGCTGGTGCAAGAATGACGAAAGCCGGCCTATCCGCCCCCAGCCGCCGCATGCAATTGACACTGACACTGTGCCCCGAGGAGTGTGTGGCGCTGACACCATGAGAACAGGTGCCAGGCCCCCACCCTCGGGGCGTCTACTATAGGTAGGAGAGGGAGGAGGAGGAGGAGGAGGAGGAGGAGGAGGAGGAGGAGGAGGCTGGACACCTACTCCAGTCTACAATACGCCGCCACAGCCAGGCTCATGCGCGCGTACCCCACGCACTGTCCGACTTGCAGAATAAAGACGAGGAGGAGGCGGTGGAGGAGCGCTACAGCATTCGAGAGACTACTGTCCTTATTACTTATCGCGTCACACGGTATATCCAGAGGCCAGCTACTTACATGCCGAATGCGGGTGCCTCTTTCCCACAGCCTGTGTACTTCGTATCAGTTCCTTCTGTGATACAGTACTGCAGCATCAGCTCGTCAGCGCCCTAGTTCCTTGTCAGAAAGCTGGCTGTTTGCCTACTACCGAAGCACGGGCCCCTGGCCACTACCTCCCGCTTACCCCACTTCACCGTACGTAGCTACTGGGCTCAAATGTGCCAGCTACCGCCAGCACTTGCGCCACTACCGCTGCTACCTCGGCTTTACGCGCCATGTTCTTCACGTGGATCAAGCAAACCTACACCTCGTCAAGCAGGAGACGTACAACGAGTACGGCATCTTCTCACCCAGTCCGAGACCAGCTGGCTGGCTACAGATACCGGTGAAGTCCCGCATCTAGCCCGACATCTACGTGTGCACGTCTGCCGCGCAGGTCTCCGACGTCAAGGCCGCCCTATATCATCACTGTAAATTCTACAACGGGTTCCACATCGACATCTATAAGGCCACGGCTACCAAGACGGAGGTCAGAACCGATAGGCGAGACGTCGGACCTCACGCCCCGCACGACGGCATCCTGGAGCTGCTCCCAGACGACTTCTGGGTGCCCAACGTGTGATACTTGCTCGCGAAGCAGCGCGTGTACCTTATTGAGATAACGGTACCGCTCGACGTCATACCCCTGACGACGCAGAAGGACATCATCGTCCAGACAACTACCAAGATGACCGTCGCCGATCTGAAGTCCACCATCTTCGACCAGCTCATACTTGGTCGGGCCCCCATCGAGCCTCACTACCTCGCGCAAATAATGATCTACGACAACTCCGGCAACAAGCTGCGCTGTCATGATAAGCTTCATTACAGCCCCTGCACGGGCCTCACCGAGACACCCACACGATGAAGTACTACCAGACGATCGACGGTGAAGTACTCCCTGAGGGCTCTGCTGTCGACAAGGGCTTCCGCTGGAGGATGCGCCGCTGCGCCGACCCCGACTGGGAGTACGTCCGCCATCCAGAACACAAGGACTACCACGAGGGCTACGGCGACTGCAAGCTGCGCGACGTCTACTACAGCACGCCCACGATCCCATACGAGCAGAAGCCGCTACGGGTCGAGGACGTCGACTCGGCGGAGGCGGAGGCCAAGCACCTGGTCCCGCATCCGAAGAGCTCGCCGAAGCGCGCGGCTCTCCCAGAGCCCCCGCGCAAGAAGCGCCGGGGCGAGCAGTTGCCCAGCTACGCGAGGGGCCCGACCCCATACTTCGCCGAGCCGCTACCAAGCTACCATGCGCCGGCACTATTTACCACAGTCCAGAACGTGCTACTGGTCATCACTATCACCACATGCGTTACCAGGCTGTCTTTGTCGCAGTCGGACAATACAGATTCCCTTGCCACAGCGCTGATACAGCCGTCTCGGCAATACGCCCAGTATCACCGACGCTATCTGCTATGCTGTGTACCCCATGCTGGTGGCAGTTACGCTACGATGCGCTCTAGGTCTGCATACATGTACCCTTGTTCATGGCCTATGGCTCAAACTCTTCAGCTTACGCCTACCGTTACCTGGGTGTTGCGGTCTACCTCTACATGTCGCGCCACGCTAACTACTAACCGAGGCACGAGACGACGGGTCCCGACGATACCACGACGTCGTACACCGAAGGACCTCACGGCCAGATCGGAGTCTGGGTCCAGGATTCTTACCCGCACCCATTTACACTCTCGGACGGGTCCTCGTCTAACTGCTAGGCGCAATTACTCGCCAAGACGTCGCAGAGCCCGAACGGCGCCTACGGCTTCTATGTCTCCGACATCCATGTGGCCTTCAAGCACTTCTACAAGTATGCTGAGTCCAGAGACGTACACATATACAAGGCTACTTGTCCAGAAGGTTGCTACCTGCCAGTACCTGACGAGCGCGATGGCATGGGTCCGCACTGGCAGAACCCTATGTCATTACACCGCAACTACTGGCTTACGCGCTCCAGCTAACTACCTGATCATCAAGACTGAAGAGTATACGGACACGACGATATTTCAGGTATATGCATCCCTAGTGTTGATAAGACGTGTATGCCACAGCTACTGACTGACCCGACGCCCAACGTGGGCGACTTGAATAGGGCTACGTCTTTACTCATGAATGGACCAGTATTCCAAGACTATCCCACTGAGATGTTTACTAAGCTGGAGATCTACGACCCGTTCAACCAGCATACCATCTTCGAGAACGGCGAGAACCTCGTCTACAACCCTACCAAGAACGGGCACGCCCGCTATTTCGGTCACTCAATCAACCAGCACAGCGACTGTCAGGAGACCCCAACAATACCTGCTACAGGTGACAACAATTACCCGTCACCGGTGAAGATTTACGAAGATTCGCCTTTCTTGGCTACGCAGGGTACGCAGCGCCAGCGTACCGATTGCAGTCTACCGGAGAAGTTGCAGCGCAGAACTACAGCTGCGAAGTCATCTTCCTTACACACTCCTTGTGCCTGTTTTACCTCCCGTGCAAGCCGTTCCAAGTCTCAAGTCTAGGTCCTCTGAGGACTGCCTAGCCTCAACCGGGGGGGGGGGGGACCTACGACGTAACCGGTTGCACTCCTCCCCCCCAAGGCCCATGGCGACGCCTCCCCCCCTCCACGCTATTAGACGAACGGCCCCCCCCCCACTCTACCTCCTCGTCGCCAGGGTCAACACTACCCCGTCGGGGTACGGCGGAGGCGGACGAGGTCTGCAAAACTGCTTGAGCCGTAGCCACGTGCACAGGCGGCCCCTGGCGCCGTCAACGGCCTGCCCTACGGCAGGGCCCCCGCGGGGGGGCGCGCGGTGCAGGCGTGCGGAGCTGCGGAGTCAGCGTGAGGCGGCAGGAGGAGGAGGAGGAGGAGGAGGAGGAGGAGGAGGAGGAGGAGGCGGTGGAGAAGGAGGAGGAGGAGGAGGAGGAGAAGGAGAAGGAGGAGGAGGACCTCCCCATCCTCCCTTCTCCCCCGTCCTACCTACGGTAGTGGTGGTGGAAAACTGGCCCATCCCTGTGGGGATTTACGAGGATGGGGCTTGGGACGGAAGGGTGTATTGCAGCATCGCTGATGCATGCCAAGCATACTCTGCTTCTCCTCCTCGATGTCCTCCCATCGAGACTTTCCCCACCAGAACAATCGAAGGGTGCGTTCCCGCTCGGATCTAGAATATGGCACCCTGACGTCTGACGTTGCCCCTCGTCCTCATCAACGCCGCCCCTCCATCGTTGCCCGGGAAGGCACCAGCAAGCCCTCATCCCCTGCACCCTGACGTGCACCTAGGTACTACTGCCCGCCTCAAACATTGCCCCTCCAGCATTCCTGACGCTCCGCGCCCGGGCGTTCGGGCCCCGACTCGGGCCTCCAGCGACCGCTCGGGACGAGCCTGGCACCCCCGAGCAAGCACTGCCTCGACGCGGTGCAACTGATGGAACGCATCCCGGGCCTCGAACACACAGAACATGATCTTTGATTCCTCTCCGTGGGTGCGCGAATGGCGGGAGATGCGACGGACAATGCCGGGAGGGGCGCCGGACGATGCCGGGTCTGGAGATGCGCCGGACAATGCCGGGCAAGGCGCCAAGGTGTAGAACATGACCTGGGACTGTGGAGGCCACGACAATGGACACCCTAACAGTCCTATTATCGAATTAAACATGTGTTTAAAATGTGGGAAGAAAGTCCTAAACATGTCCTTAAAATATATGGAGCATGTTTTTTTTGCATGTTCAAAACATATTGAACACATGTTCTAGACATCTGGAAATTATTTGGCAACATGCTTCCTCTCCATTGATGGTCCTTCACAAACCTGGGACTCCTCCTCCCTCCCTCCTCCCATCCGCTCCTACTACCCCGCCCCCCCCTCCCAAAGCAGGCCAGGCCAGGCCAGGCCAGGCAGGACGCAACTCCGCGACCCCGATGGCGCGCCACCGCCGCAGAGCAGGGTGCGCGGGCCGCCAGGCCTCCTCCTCCTCCTCCGCCTCCTCCTCCTGTTATTACTCCTCGTCCTCCTCCTCCTCCTCCTCCTCCTCCTCCTCCTCCTCCTCCTCCTCCTCCTCCCTCCTCCTACCTCCCCCACTCCTCCTCCCCCAGCAGCGGCAGGGCCGGGCAGGGCGGCGTTCGGCGACCCCGATGGCGCGCCGTCGCCGCCAGGCCAGGGCGCATGGGCCACGCCCGGCGCGTGCCCGCGCCCCGCGAGGTACGAGCCGTCGTACATCGCTGACCAGGCTCGGAGGGCGCCAGCGGCACAGCTGACTGCACTGATGCTGGCCAGCCCCGCCCAGGGCGCAGGACTTGAATTATGCCGGGCGTGTCCCCCATACAGGGGGACTTTCGATGAAAAATAAAAAATACCCCAAACATGCCCCCAAAAGGTCAAACCTTAATCAAAAAAATCCCCAGACTATTTTTGGACTATTTGTCACTATTTGTGGGGTATTTCTTACTTTTCGTCGAAAATCCCCCTGTAGGGGGACAGGCCCGACTTAAGACTTGAAGGCCTGGAAGTGGGCACCAACACCCAGACGGAGGGGCGCCTGGACCGTGGGGCGACGATGCTCAGAATCCTGGACGGTGGTGCCTGTGGTCAACTATCTCGGCCACCCGGAGAGCCCGAGCATCACCACCATCGCCGAGATCGGGATCATCCCCCCCCCGGTGGAGGCACACCGCCGATATTAGTGTTGGTGTCAACGGCTCGGCCTCTGAAGGGAAATATACGCAGTGCTGGCTTGGCGAGAACCGCTTCTACATACATATATATATATAGACATACATACATACATACATACATACATACATACATACATACATACATGCATGCATGCATGCATGCATGCATGCATGCATGCATACATACATGCACATATGATATGTATATATGCGTGTGTACGCGTATGCTAATATCCCGAAGCGGTACTTGCACTTAGGGTGTCTTACTTCTTTTCAGAGGAGCTGGGCCTGACGGCCAGTGTGGCGTATATGACGCAGCCGTCGCCGCCCCGTCGCCGCCTCGTCGCAAACCGTCGTCTGGGCGTGACGGTCGGTATGGCGGCTATTTCGCCGCCGTCACTACCCAGTCGCTGCCAGCTCGCCGCCCGTCGTCTGGGCCTGCGGTCGGTCAAGCGACGATGTGGGCGTCGTCGCCCCCCATCAACGCATCGTCGCCGCCAATCCGTGTGCATCACGCAAATTCTCCTTTCCAAAAAATATATGAAGATCTACCCCCTGGATTAAACAGCCCTTCGTTTTGTATTGCAACTTATACGCGGTTCCGCCTCATCGTGTATCCGAAACATGAATTCGTACCGCCCCAACCAAGCCGGTACCGGCCCCCCCCCCCGTTCATCCTCTGCTGAAATCACTATGCGCGCGCCCGTTTATCACAATTTATGGGGTTCCAAAAATCCCGTTGCAAACAACAACACACACGACAGCGTCGTCGCGCGAGCATGCCGGAATCTTTCAACGACCTGAAGTTTCGTAAGGATTCAACAATCTAGCGTCCCGAAACGTATCACAAAAATGTATGGTCCCGCAACAATCGTTATTACAAATTGCGCCCCCGTTGTTGCGAATTCTTAAGAAATATGCAATTCTCAATATTTTCGTAAAATGTAACTACCAAATCTGTCCCTCGCGCGCGCATGTCGAAATCGTTCGAGCGCCCTCGCGCGGGTGATGTCGCAAGAAGCCCCTGCAAACACATGGGGAGGAAATGCGCACGCGCGCGTCGTCGCGCGCGCATGCCAGAATCCTTTTATAAAAAACCGTTGGTTGCGTAAAGACCTCAAAATCGACTGCCCTGGAAGCATACGAAAGGCAAACGGTGTGGAAACAACAGTTTTCACCCCAAAAAAGAAGCTGCTCTCGAACTCTGGCGAATTCTCAAGACCGTTCACCATTTTCATGAAATTCGCACCGCATGCCGACATCATTCGAACGCCCGCGCGCGCGTGCTGGGGGGCACGATCCGTGCCACATGCACCATGCGGGCCACTCTGGCGCGTCGGCCGCGCGCACGTCAAACCCCTTCCAAAACCTTCCTCACCGATGCGGGGGCGCCATCATCGTCGCACCAACATCGCTACTATCATCATCGTGTCTACTGTTGTCGACGTTGCCATGATACCGCTTCCGCCCTCGCACTGAAGTGCCCGCTGGGAAGTGCCCGAAGGTCAGCGCCACCGCGGCCGCGTCGGTCGCACCGAACTAGCTGGCCACTGCGCGCGCGCGAGCATGCGCAGGCCAGCGCGGCCGCAGAGATGCACCAGCCAACACCAAGCTCTCATCGCAATCGCCGCCGCATGTGTTTTGCAAAACAAAGGCGGGTGGGTGGGATGATTGCGTGAGCAGAGGAGCTGGCAACTGCGAATTCAACTACTGAGCTGCACCACGTAAACTGCACCACATCTATTGCACAACATAGATTGCTCCACGTGTTGCACCACATCGGTTGCACAACCTACTCCGCATTACATTTATTGGACTACGTAGATTGCATTTCCTAGATCGCACCACTTAGAAAACAGCGCAGAGAGGGCACCGCATAGGTTGCACAACATCCAAGTGAACAACATAGATCGCACCATAAATATTGCACCACACAGCTTGCTCCACATGTACTGCACAGCCGTTATTGCACTACATCGGTTGCACAAGCAGGATTGCAGCACATAGGTTGCGCAACCTGTATTGCACCAACTAGGTTGCACTACATGTATTGCACAACATACTTTGCACCGCATAGGCTGCTCCACATAGGTTGCACGACATATGTGGCGAAACATCGATTACACCGTCCTTACTCTATTTCATTCATGAAACGTGGGTGGTGTAACTTTCACAGCGCGCACTTTTGGGCACCAGTCTCATTTTCGCTGGCGTCGGGCCCCCACCAATATTTACCGCCAGTCCTCGCGAGATGGCGGATTAATTTAGCCGGCGCCTGAAACACAGATTGTTCGCAAAATTGACGGCTATTGGGTTGCGCATCCTACAGGTGCTCGTCAGCTTCATCGTCACCTTTACAATATGGTCCGTTCACCGCATCTGGCAGAACCGCTCTCATCTTCTCACCATAATCCTCATGATCGTGTGATCGTTGTCACCATCAACATCGTCATCACCATCATCATTATCATATTCAGTACACCTACCATTGTCATTGGCGACCCTGAGATGGTGCATAATTGTCGCCGGCGTTTGGGCGGCGTATTTTTCGCCGGCGTGGCACCCCCCACGACGTTTGCCCCCCCCCCCCCCCCCACGTGTAAGAATGGGAATAGTGTAGATTTACACAAGACTGCATTGGCGTTTCGCGCCATGCACCTTGGTCCTTGAGGCGTTGCAGATGTTGGTTGTTCGCACCATCCCCAGTGACCTTGGAAATTGGACCCCTTCCCTGCGGTGGTCTTCAAAAGTCTTCGGAAGTTCGGCCGGTCCCTGGCCCTTCTCGGGACTCTGGGGGCTCCCTGGCCCTTCTCAGAGAGCGAGGAAAGGAAGCGGATGTGGGGAGGACGAGTGGTGGAGCGGCTGCAAATGGAGGAGGAGGGCGCCCGCCGTCGGGGGACGACTGATAATGTTGCAGCGGGTAGCAGCGGGTCGCAACGGGGCACGCGAATGCAAAAAAACCTTGGGGCATGGGGCCATCTTGGGCCGTGTTGGGGAGCTTGGGCCCTCAAGGGAGCTTACGGGGGCTACGTAATTAGGCCCTCCTGTTGGCCTCCCATGGCCTTTTGGGGATCCTCCCATGGCCTTCTCGGGCTTCTTTTGGGGGCCTTGTAAAGGCCTGCTGGGCCTCTTTTTGGCTCAGTTGAGGCTTCCTTGGGCAGTCTCGTGGCCGTCCAGGCCGTCTGTTTGCTCTCTTGGGGGTCTCTGGGGCCGTCTTGGGGCGATACTGGAGGCCTTCGTGGCTGTTGTGGGCGCTGCTAAGACCCGAACAGCGAATGTGCTGAAAATGCACGTTGCCCAAAGGCAATGAAGCGATTTCTTGCGTCCTGGGAGCCCTGTTGAGGGCCTCCTGGACAGTCTTGGGGGCCTCTGGAGGCCCTCTGGGTCCTTCTTGGAGCGCTCTTGTGCTGTCTTGGGTAATTTTTCGGCCTCTCTGATCACCGCTCTGATCGCTTCGGGGCCTTGTGAGGGCCTGTTGGGCATTTGTTTGGCTCAGTTGAGGCTTCCTTGGGCAGTCTTAGGGCCACCCAGACCGTCTACAGGCTCTCTTGGGGGTCTCTGCGGCCGTCTTGGGGCGGTACTGGAGGCCTTCGTGGCTGTTGTGGACGCTGCTAAGACCCGAACAGCGACTGTGCTGAAAATGCACGTTGCCCAAAGGCAATGAGGCAATTTTTGCGTCCTGGGAGCCCTGTTGAGGGCCTCCCGGGCCGTCTTGGGGGCCTCTGGAGGCCCTCCGGGTCCTTCTTGGAGCGCTCTTGTGCTGTCTTGGGTAATTGTTCGGCCTCTCTGATCACCGCTCTGATCGCTTCGGGGCCTTGTGAGGGCCTGTTGGGCATTTGTTTGGCTCAGTTGGGTCTTCCTTGGGCAGTCTTAGGGCCACCCAGGCCATCTATAGGCTCTCTTGGGGGTCTCTGGGGCCGTATTGGGGCGAAACTTGAGGCCTTCTTGGCTGTTGTTGACGCTGCTGAGACACGAGCAGCGAATTTGCTGAAAATGCACGTTTCCCTGACGAAATGAAGCGATTTCTGCATTTTGGGAGCGCTGTTGAGGGCCTCCTGGACAGTCTTGGGGGCCTCTGGAAGCCATCCGGGTCCTTCTTGTAGCGCTCTTGTGCTTTCTTGGGTCATTGTTCGGCCTCTCTGATCACCGCTCTGATCGCTTGGGGCCTGCTGGCAAGACCCGACTAAGGGCCCTGGGAGGTCCGGGACGATCCGGGGGACCATTGGCAAGGATGTCAGGGGGGCCAGAAACCCGCGATCCTTGGGGCCATTTTTTTGGGGGGGAGACAGGGTTTCCACCCCCCACCCCTCACGGCTTGTTCAAACATAAGAAGAGGAATTGCACAACCTAGATGACACAACATAGATCGCACCACATAGACTGCACCACATAGATTGGTCCATATCGCTTGCGCAACACACTTTGCCAGAACCACGCAGTTTGGGGCCCACGCTGGCTTGAATTGGTGTATATATGTACAGATGAATATAGAACGCTCATATTTCCATAGACATATCCAGACATGCGGCGTCCTGATTTTTTGGGAGGTGGCTCCCCCGGAAGTCCACACCCTTCCCCGTGGCCAATTTTTCATCCCGAGTCGTTGTTCGACGGTCCCGGG